CTCTTATTGATGATAAAAAATAACCAATCAGCGCGCAAGTGATTTGTAAGTTATTGTAAAAAATATAATATAATATATAATAAATAATTATTTACCTCAGGCTCAGTGAATATCATGGAATATTAACCTCACCTCTTGTTAAATAGTATAATTTTTAAACAATCGTGTAATGTTTAAGGTGACTGTCTACTTTTGGAAACAATTTTRAACTTTAGCAATTTAATGTTGATTCCAAGAATATGAAAAGAAAAATAGGGTGTGCCCAGACTTATTTTCTTGCTTAAGTTGAAATTGAACACCTATCAGGCCATGAAGTCTTTTCTATTGCTGCATCTATAACTATGGAACAATTCAGCTAATGTTATCAAGAATAGTAATTCTCTTATCAATTTTCAAAAGTCTAAAGAAGCTAAAGCCTTTATTTAAAGWGCTACTCTGACGAAAATCACTCAAACTTGGATTCAGCTGAAACTTCCTAAWAATACTCTTTAAAGGTCCAATAATCACTGTATGAAGTGTTTTCTYGATATTCWGGACAAAAGTATGATATTTTTACGATTATTTTTTTTGAATCTGTGACGTCATACGCTCAACATCAAACATTGCTACATATATTTCTTTGTATATAAATCCTTAATTTATTTTATTCCTATGAAGCCCAAAGGGTGGCTAATGTGCTTATTTCACATTACTTGTGACTATGATTTATATTTTGGGGTGTTTGGGTATTTCTTTCTCCCTTTAATACTACTGATATTTTGATCATAAACTACAAAGAAATGTATGGAACAATGTTCGATGTTGAGTGTATGACGTCACAGACTCCAAAAACCAATCATAGAAATATCATACTTTCGTCCTGAATATCGAGAAAAAACTTCATACAGTGATTATTGGACCTTTAAAGAGTATTCTTGGGAAGTTTCAGCTGAATCCAAGTTTGAACGATTTTCGTCAGAGTTGCACTTTAAAAGCAAGTACTGCATTTGATTAGAAGACAATAGCCTGGGTTCTGAAAATTTCTGCTATATCTACTATAAAATTAACRCCTCTATTAAGTGGACAAGGACACTAAAATACAAGCCCAATTGGTAATTTCTATTGTTAAGAACTGGCTTACATATAAACGGACACCAGATATCAGCATGTTCAGGTTCAATACAACTGCAATTATAGCATCTGAATCAAATTTGTTTGTGACTGAGGTTCCCACTTTAAATCCTGGTTTCTTCAGCAATGATTGGAATAAACAATTAATGGTYATAGTGAAGCAAACTGTTAAGACCCATAATATGAATGAAATGTTTCCTAGTTTTATTTTCTAATCAAAGACATGCGAGAGCTATTATCTAGAGCATTATCAATTAACTAGTAGGATTGTTTTCAATGTATGAGTTTGCTGACATACAGAAAAATATTTGGTTTGCTTAGGTTATAGCAGWTATTTTTCTGTACGTAAACAAACAATATGGTGGCTGTATTGAATTGCGAGGTACATGTATTTTGGGGCATCCAGGGGTCAAATATAGAGCTCATATGCTGCTTGATGATATGYTTCCTTTATATCACCTGTCTTCATTACAGTCAAAGATAGTACATAATAACCTTTACCATTAAAAGAAAGAAAACAAAACAGAAATCTATAATATTTTCCCCCCTGGACATCCCATAATGCCTTCCAATCCAAGATGGCTGCCGTATCATCAAACTATTCCATTAAGCAAACCGCTTCTAATCAGACAACCTTTATCAAGTGGACATGAGACAAGGTACCAAAGGTGCCTGCTTTAATAGAGGTATAACTGTAATATTAATGGTATCTAGCAACATACCCTCCATACGTAGCTGGGGAATTCTTTTGACTTCTGGTAAGCTGAGCCATTCTTTCATTTTTCTAAATATTTCTTTTCCTAAACGCATCTCGTTCCAGGGTTTTGGCTTTCTCAAAAGATCACTTAAAGTACCCTGTGATCTATTTAAGACTTTCCTAGCAAACACAGCTTGTGGGATATGATATCTCCTAAGCTCATCTGTCAACTGCAATGCCGTAGCTTTTGTGTCTATCCATTCATCCTCATCAGTGGTTAACACAGGCTCTTCAGCTTCAGATGTTGATACATTGGTATTACTTTGTATTAGTGTTTGTTGATCCTGTATTGATGATGTAATTTGAACACTAGGTGTCATTGCACTTGTGATTATCTTTTGGATGKTATCATTAGTAACGGTACCAGCATTTCTAAGGATTCCATTGATCTGTTCCAGGACTGCCTGCTCAATCATTACAAGGCCAGCAGGTAAAGCGACTGCCTCTGCTCCTTCTGCATTGCTATTGGTTGACTCACTCACTGTTTGTACTTGGATAAGGTTCAAATGTTCTGGCAGTAAGACTTGAGTAAGATCAGTGTCGTTAGCAGAAACCACACGCTCAGATATTTCATTTTCTTTGCTAGGTGATTGATGAGATGATGATTGTGAASAGTTAGTAATAGGAGTGTTAAGTGGTGTTGTCTGTAAGATCCCTTGACTTGAGTTCTCCATATAACTCTCTTTAGTTTTAGAACTTTTACTTCGTAGCATGTAGGAGTTTTTCTCTGATTTATCTTTGGATCTAGCAGTCGTATTTACTTCTTCAGAGGCGCCCAGTGCAAGGGTTAGCAAAGGTTCTAAAGCGTTAGGATTCACTGAATTTCCCGAAGGTGTCGAGTTATTTGCAGCTCTCGAATCCATATCCATACAGTGGAGGCTTCATATACTATATGAAATCACTCAAGTAATTGGTTAAAACAGGTCCTAAAGCTTTTCAAATCTACTACATATTCTCTTTATCTAGATCTCTGTATCGACCGCCATCTTGTCCTCCCAAAAAAATACAAACGAGCAATGTAACCAAGCCTCGGTCAAATATTAAGGAAGCTCTACCCTCTTTGTTGCTATGACTACCTGGTAATTTCAATTAGGAATAGCTCAAAATCTTATTCAATTTTATTAACTTTATTTCCTTATAATTTCTTAACTTGGGCAAGATTTTTTGAAAATGAAAGCCTTGTAGGTTCAATATCTAATCGTTTGTAAATTAATGATGGACTAAGGACTTCTATGTTCGCTGATGCGGAACTGCAGGCTCAGTAAGATGACAAGAAAGGCGTGAAAATAAACGAAGTCAGTTTTATACAAATTTTCGCTTAAATCAAGATCATTAAGCATGGAAAACAACGACCAAGATCAAGAAGAACAAGGAATGAGATCCCTCCATCACCATTGTGTCTCGCCAGTACGATTTCAAAACAGAACTGGACGAAATGTTAATCTCATTTGGATCGACTATGAAGGCAAACAAGGAATGTTAGTTGAACTACAGAAAGAGCAGGACCAAAATCTCAATACGTATGTCACACATCCATGGCTTGCTGAAGACTCTGAGACTAAAGAGAGACTCCTTTTGAACTTCTCAGAAGTCTTCTTTCCCGTGGAACCTGAAATCGTAATAAATGACTTTCGTCCACGCAGAGCACAAGCAAAGAGAATTCTGGTGAAAATCACTACTCCAGGTACTAGTGTAGCTTACTTTCTCTTATGTGACSTTAGCTTATATTGTAGCTCATGCAAATTTCGTTACATTTTGGAAACATTAATTTATAAGAGCAGAGAGACSGTCAAATGGGATTAGGAAGCTGCTAATTCTTCGTTTGCAATAGACGTCATAGCCGCCATGTTGGAAGAATTTGACAAAAGATTTTTCAATGAATTCTTTTGTTATATCTTCCAACATGGCGGACATCCCTTTTGTTATTGTGCTCTCTTGGGATTGATTGCAAACCAAGAACGGCTTCTGTAAAGGAGGGCGGTGACCAAAAGTAATCAGCTATTGCATTAATTTTTTGTATCCACCCCCTTCCTCCCCTTCCCCCATCCCTTGAGGACTGTGGAATTCTTCAGGGGTTGAGGRAGTTTTTGTGCTGGAATTCTTTAAGGGTAAGGGTTGTTTTTAGTTTTTTTTTTGTGCTGGTTTTGTGCATGTCTCCAGTAATTTCTTAGGGGGTTCTTAAAAACTTAGGTCAACAATGGGGAGAACAAAAATGTTATGCAATAGTCCAATGTGGAGTTTTCTCATTCCATGTCTCTCTTCCATTTCTCATTCCATCATGTTAYTTTTGGTGAAAAGGGGTAGGGGAGAGGGAACTTGAACATTTGAAACTCTGTATACTTTCCGTCATCTTTGTTTTGTTTTGCCCCTTGGCAAGGTGGCTGCCATATCGTCAAAGTAGTCCATTGTTTTGTACATAGTTATATCATTGTAAAGAAMGTGCAGTATTTTTCGCTTGCCAGTGTTCATTCCTGTATCAAGTTAAGGTCTCATCTTAGATTGGTGTAGGGATGTTTCTGAGAGTATCAGTGTATTGTATACAACTATCTAAAAAAAACATATTTTCCAACCATCACTCCCAATACTGTATGTGCTGGGCTCTTCTGTGAGCTTCACTCCACATGCACCATCACTACATTCTATATTTCACTACATTCTAGCAAAACCAGGTAAACAACTGCACCTTCCATGTATGCAGTTCTAAGTATTGGAGGGTGGAGGGGGAACAACGATGTGCTATAAGCAATAGGAGATATAGGTCATTCCAAAATCCACAAATAGCTGGAATGACTGGTGTTATCACATACAGGGCAAAATTACTCGATGCTGATTGGCTAATGAAGGAGGGCTTTTTTCCGTAATTCGCGGCTGAATTACCAGAAAATTATTGGTAGTTCAGTTGCCTAGCAACGCTYATAAAATGGAAACTTTTCTTTCAWTTTTTGCAAAAAATGGCTTCATGTTTTGCATTGGCAGACRAAGAAACCACAAGAAAACTAAAAAGTTCAAGCKGAAATGAGAACACTAGAAAGAGTACAGGTGTTTGAATAAATTTTTCCCGTAAATGGGCCTCAGAAAGACCACTCAAGTAGTCCCAAATGTGTACAACTTCACCAGCTCCAATTGTGACTTTGAACGCCATGGTCTGGACTTAATCAGTCAAAACGCCACTTTATTCAGCTTCTTCCTTTGGATTCTGATTCAGATTAAGAACTTTGTTGATAGGAATMTATTTTTATGCATATTTTTATGGGTTTTGATACGGGATATTTTACGTTTTCCATTCTTTCGGTTGAAGCACTTTTTTTCAAGATTTAACATTTCATTCAGCGGGATCCAAGGGCAACTTGCCAAATAATTATTGTTTAAACTCAGTGATTGATGATATGCTTTTGTACAGGAAAAAACCTTAAATTTTTATTGTCCAAAGCTTGATAGAAGAGAGCATGTGTAATGARGAAACACATTTGAATTCTGAATAAAATTCTTTTGAGCCATATAACTACATTTGATTTGATAGTTCAGAATAAATGACAACGCACGGGCATCATATTGGTTTCAAGACAATTTTTTTTAATGAATTTTGTCCTATATATGATAAACGGGTAATCATATGGTTCCTCGTAAAATTAAGGATTAATTTCACATGTGTTTTCAGGGTTTTGAAATTGCCCTTGTAGCTTCTTGACTTGTGCAATTTTAAAACTTTGAAAACACTCGAGAAATTAATACTTAATTTTACGAGGAAACCATACGATTACCTATACTATTAACTTAAATTATTATTTTTGACAGTAACACCGAAGTTATTATTGAGATATTAAGTATTGTTCATAGTCATGTTTAAATGTAAGCCCACAGTTCCTTTTGGTTGTGCCATTGCCAATAACTGATGGTTATTTGCCCCTTCAACCTTTTAATATGAAATAGTTGTATGCTTGATCTATAGTATTAAATTGAATTTGTATTTTTAGTCCACAGATTGGAGAAATATTGTAAGCAAGTTATATTGGGGCTGGTTGACAAGGAAAATATTAAACATCTTCCACTTCCACCAATAATCATAAAGATATTATTAGAAAGCTGATAAATATTGAGTAACATTTTATTATAAAGAYATAATTATGAATGCATAGTGTATGTGTTGTATGTATGCTTACAATATGAGCGGCAGTGTTGTATTGACTATACAATCATGAGCCAGAGGCCAGACAGACACGAATATTGGAAACTACTTGCAAAATTCATGAATGATTCATRAATCCTTTGAGAYATTTTAAATCATATGCTAATAAATTATTAGATACAACCACTAGTGCTGTATCAGAACAGTATACATCCACTARTGGGTGTATCTAATTAGCATTTTCATTGTAAGGTTTGTATCGGGTTTACATGATATTCATGTGACCTGATTTCTAAAGCTTAGACCCCAATTAATTGAAAGTGGCTGAATTTTATATCCTAATATATCCATTGTTTTGTATCATGATCAAGCTGGTCAGCTTACAGCTTACGAACATTTTGAGGAAAAAAATATGGAGATGGATCCCTTTTTTCTAATTCTAATTTTTTTCTCCATCCTTTCTTGCAAAACACAATGTACTTCATATTATATTTTCAATTTTGTTTAAAATGTGTTTTACTTATTTTTTAGTACATGGGAACATTGTAAAAATGTTATGATGATGTAAGTTTGTAATTTTCTGACCTGCTTACTACCATTCCATTGTTCATTATTCACACACACACACACACAAACCCAGCTTAGAGTACTCTATAATGTAAAAATGTAAAAATATTAGTATTGTAAATATTGTAAAGAAATTTAATTATAGAGGAATGTATTTTTTTAAAGTAGCTGTATAAGAAATAGAACAAGAATGAATGAAGAAATAAATAAATGAAGTAGTGGTGTTCTTTATAAGATCGCATCTCTTCCTCAGGGGGGYTTTGAGGAGGTCAGTTTAGGATGTGATCTTGATCTACATAGAGGATAYCACTATTTTCATTGCTTATGCTGATAAAACAACAGCGGTGAAAGGGATATCCTACAATAGACTGCTGTCAATCACAGCATGTCAAGGGATTGAACAATTTATTTGATTGATGGTCTGTTGTCTTGATCAGTGCATAGCAATGAAAACAGAGGTAATTTGCAAAGTAGCCCTAATTTCTGGTCCCAAATGCTATTATTACCTCTATTAAGTGGCCACAAAATCCTAATAATGATTCTTAATACCATGCCACTTGGCTCGGTCCCGAGGGTGGCTGCTTAATAGAGATACTAAATGTGTAAAATAATTACTTAGATCTTATTAAACGAGCGGGAGGTCTGCACGGGATAATCTTGACTGAGGTCTGTACCCGACCGAGGTCAAGATTATCCCGTACAGACCGACCAAGCTTGGTTGATAAGAGTTTTATTATATGACCACTTTTCATTGAAAAGGACAAAATGCTTTCGCCGTAAGATTAATATGCGATCGGGCCGGTTAATACCAGAGAATCTAGACCAGGCCGCGATGCGATCTATCCAATCAGATTGCTCRATTTGCTAGTGTCCAGGCTCTAAGATTCACGGTCATATAATAATCATAAGTTATCAAAAACAAGCAACAAGGGGGGAGGGGGGAGGGGGGTGGGAATTTAATCATAATTTCCATGATTGGCAAAACAAATTGTACTATTTTGCCCTTCACCTTAGCTGCCTCCTTAAATTTATGCAACTCTCATTTTTCACCTATGATACAGACAATATCAGACCATTTTTTGATTGGCCAAGTTTATTGTATGTCCCTATCCTACATTATCCTACAATTTTTCAATTACTAATTTGAAAATAAAATCAAAGATAATCGACACCGTTTTATTGTAATTATTTGTTTTCTGGCAGGAATATTGTGAAGCGAATGATTTGACATTTTTTCGGCTCAGTTCCGATTTGCCCAAAAAAGGACATCAGACAAGGCCCCTCCTATTGATCATGTATACCCCTATCACGTGATATCACTAAGGGAAGAGGCAAAATGGTGGACCGACTTGGTGAGTAGGAAAAGTCTTATGAAATCCTCTTTTCACTACATATATTTCGAGCCGATTTGTCAACTAAAAGCTGCATAGGCTTTTGCGGCTATTAAGGTTTAAAATATCTTAAGATCAAGTTGATCTAACTCGGAATTTTCTTTTATTTTCCTCGCTTAATGCATAAACTATGCGTAGCAGTTGATCGACTTACTKGTGAGCAGAGTGTAAAACTATTTTGATATTCTTGGATTTCCGCTTCGAAACTTCCTTCTGAATGCTTTCGAAAACACTCAGTAATTTTCCTTTGTCTCTTCGTACTTACTCCGGAAGAGTTATACCGAATAATTTTCAAGTTATTCCGAGATAAGGCATTCAAAGGGCGATATGAATGACTTTTGATTCTGGAATTCTCAATGAAATGGTCTATTAAATCTCCATGAAGCTCATACGCTAAATATATATGAATGCTTTTCTTAGGGTGTGTATGGTAAAGTGCCATCAAAATATTTTTAAAATTCTTGGATTTTTATGTACATTTTATAGCTTCAGTTTTTGTAAAAAACCTAAAGATTTTTTCAGACTTTGATTCTAATAAATTCACTTATGTTTAAGTTATTGCCGGTAAGTCAGGCATGACAATTTCCGTGGTATTAATTCTGTTTGTTTACTTGTTGAAATTTTGGTACAACCATAGATTACCCAGCAAGGAAAAGTGTAATA